AAAAAAAAAAAAAGGTATCAGAGTATGAAAAGACATTGTGGGCAGAAAAAAATTCATTTGAAAATCTGCAGGAATACTTAGAGTTCTTCACAGAAACCCTCAGAGACCTACAGGCTCCTAAGTGTTGTACACAAATTTACAGGAAAGAAATACCAGTAGACTATCCCTACTATGAAAATCTGAAATACGAAATGCTCCAATGAGCATTTCCTTTGAGTGTCATGTTGACATTCAAAAAGTTTTGGCTGGGCACCGTGGCTCACGCCTGTAATCCCAGCACTCTGGGAGGCCGGGGCGGGCAAATCACCAGGTCAAGAGATGGAGACCATCCTGGCCAACATGGTGAAACCCCGTCTGTACTAAAAATACAAAAAAATTAGCTTGGGCGTGGTGGCGCGCGACTGTAGTCCCAGCTACTCGGGAGGCTGAGGCAGGAGAACTGCTAGAACCCTGGAGGCGGAGGTTGCAGTGAGCCGAGGTGGCACCACTGCACTCCAGCCTGGCGCCTGGTGATGAAGCCAAACTCCGTCTCAAAAAAAAAAAAAGTAATAATTTATGCATGAAGTACTTCACAAGGTCTGGTTTACCACCTACTGAGGGAGAATGGAAGGGGAACAGCAGAAAATAAAAAAAGTTTTGAATCCAAGTTAATAAACTTGACCTTTAATCTACAGGCAACAGCCATTGGATCAGCTATTTTGGATCACGGTGGTGCTTGCAGGTGACTACACCTGTAGCAAGTATATGTAAGATGGGCTAGTAGCAGTGTGATGCTAGAGGCAGGACATCAGTGAGAAAGGTACATGCATTTACACCGTTCAGGGGATGGTTATGAGAACTTTGATTAGGTGGGGGCAGTGGGGTAAGAAGATGCTGGAATTACTGTAGGGGTACAATCGACAGGACTTGCAAGTGATGGGAGCATGAACAAAAAAGAAAGGGCATCAAATCTGTCATCAGTTTCCAAGTTGGTTGTATTAACAAAAACGGATGCATAGCCTGGGAAGCAATTTGGGAGGGAAGAGGCCAAGCTTTGTTGGGATGTTAAGTGTTTACACATTTGCGGAACAGCCCAGAAGACAGGGCAAGGCTCCTGGAAGTAGCTGGATACTGACAGCTGAAACTGGAGCAGAGAGGAGGTATGTTTCCGCAAAACCACATACAAAAGGGACTACGGAAATCTTACTACCCAAGCTTGCCTGGGCAGGAGAGAAAGGTGAAGCATCCCTTAAGTCATCAGTCGTGTCTACTCTTCATGGCCTGCTCTCACCTGACGTTCCCCACGAAGACTCCGGAGCAGGCGGCGGGAAGGAGCCTTTCCCTCCCTTCTCCAAAGATTTCCAGAACTTCCGTCTCTACCCGTCACCGGCTCCCAGTCAAACTGGCTTAATAGACAGCGACGTTTTCGACTGCCCAGCCACCAGGCAGGCTGAAAGCGCATGGGAGGCATCATCCACCTTTAGACAGCTACTTGCCCACACCTCCTCGAGCTCTGGGCGTTGCGCCAACATTTAAAGAAGCGCTCTGCTGCAACGCGATCTACGCCAAGTCTTAGTTATCGCGAGACTTGACAGGCATCCCAGCCTCAGATCAGGCCGCCGGAAGCGGAAGTCGGATGGTTGTTGGATTCTAGCGGAAGGGGCTCCCTTACGTTGGAGGGCTGGAGTGGTCTGGAGTTCCACGGCGTAGTTGGGTAGAGACCACCTCTCCTGTGGCCTCTTAGTGTCTCGCGGGCGGGATTCAGCCCGAGCTGGATAGAGACAGCCCTTCGCGGGTGAGTTGCCCTGGACGCCCGGGAGGAGGGAGCGGGGCGACCGAGTTGGGTGGCCGGTGAGGTGTCCTCCGCCTGTGCGGTGAATTTGTACTCTTTGCGAGACCGAAAGCCATTTGCCTCTCACGGCCCGTAATTTCCCTCACTTCTAGGGGTGTAAGGTGCTTCGGAAGGGAGCAGATCTGCTAGAACCTTGGTAAACAAGCTGTGATGTGCCTTGAGGACAGACTGGAAAATGCAGTTGAAAAGTCTGCATCTTCGTCTGTTCTCTAGGCTCACCTCCTAGGGCAGCGAAACCCCATTCTGGTTATTTCAAGGGTTAGTTGCCCGCAGCCGAAGTTTTTTGTGGTTTTACTTGTGGTGAATAAACTAGTAGTGATCGAGTACAAATCTGAAAGACTTACCCTAAAAGAACATACATCATGAAGTTCTTATTCATACTTCAACTATTTTGCTTTTGAAGGCCCAGAGGACAAATCTTGTAGCTTCTAGCTCTTCACTGTGAGAGCCAGTTCCCTATTTGGAATATTAGCTTTGGAAGTCTTTAGAGTACTTGTTTTGTTTTTTGTTTTGAGACGGAATCTCTCTTTGTCGCCCAGGCCGGAGTGCAGTGGCGCGATCTCAGCTCACTGCAACCTCCGCCTCCTGAGTTCAAGTGATTCTTCTGCCTCAGCTTCCCGAGTAGCTGGGACTTACAGGCGCTTGCCTCCACGCATGGCTAATTTTTTGTATTTTTAGTAGAGACGGGTTTTCCCCCTGTTAGCCTGGATGGTCTAGATCTCCTGACCTCGTGATCCGCCCGCCTTGGCCTCCCAAAGTGCTGGGATTACAGGCCTGAGCCACCGCGCCGGCCTTAGAGCACTTTTACTCCAAGTCTCTCCTTAAGTAAGACATAAGTGCACCACCCTCCCCTCCAAACACCTTTTGAGAGTAAAAGTCAAGTTCGTTTTCTTTCTCCCACAGATTTAAACAACCTAAACATTAAGCAATACAGCTGCCTCAAATCTCTGGGGTAAGTAAAGCTTGGGTCAATTAACATTCTATTTAAATTCCATTCTCAGTAATAATACAGTTGATATTTGTTTACATGAGTGTGGTTGGGGAGTCATCCGAGAACATACGAGAACATAAAAATGGAGTAACACCTTTTACTTGCCTTATGATTTTTACTGCCTGTCTGGATTAGGCATGAGTCATCTTTTTAGTGATTTCTGTGATCCTGATAGAATTCTAGGCATGAGTCATCTTTTTAGTGATTTCTGTGATCCTGATAGAATTCTAGGCATGATTTTAATTAGCTGAATTTATTTGAAACTCATTCCTTGGATTTGAGAATTTGACATATAGTTTGCCAATCCCAGACGCATTGAAAGTCTTTGATATTTGGTATTTGATAAAGCACACTAAGAACAATAGCCTGAAAGTGTCAGGCCGGGTGCAATGGCTCATGCCTGTCATCCCAGCACTTTGGGAGGCTGATGCGGGCCAATCACCTGCGGTCAGGAGTTCAAGACCAGTCTGACCAACATGGTGAAATCCCATCTCTACTAAAAATACAAAAATTAGCTGGGCCTGGTGGTGTGCACCTGTAATCCCAGCTACTGGAGAGGCTGAGGCAGAAGAATTGCTTGACCCTGGGAGACAGAGGTTGCAGTGAGCCGAGATTACGCCATTGCACTGAAGCGCTGGGCAACAGAGCAAGACTCTGTCTCGGGGGGAAAAAGAAAATAAAACAGAGTGTCTACATATTGCTTCTTGCAATCCAAACAATAATTTTGGTTTAATTTTGTTGGGGTGAAGGTAGGCAGTATAAATGTTACAAATAGATGCATATGTTTGGAGGAAACGCAGACTGATAAAGAAGTTATCACAGTAACTTTCAATATCACATCTCTTTGTCCAAAATGTTTTATTATAAGTTAATACAATAAGAAAATAATTTTGGCCAGGCCCAGTGGCTCATGCCTGTAATCCCAGCACTTTGGGAGGCCAAGGCAGGAGGATCACTGGAGCCTAAGACTTTGAGACCAGCCTGGGCAACATGGCAAGACCCTGTCTCTTCAAAAAATACAAAATTAGCCGCTTGTTGGTGGCATGCACCTGTAGTCCAGCATCTTGGGAGGCTGAGGTGGGAGGATTGTTGGAGCCAGGGAAGTCAAGTCTGCAGTTACCTGAGATTGTGTCACTGTGCTCCAGCCTGGGTGACAGAGTGAGAGACCTTGTCTCAAAAAAAAAAAAAGTTGAATTCAATACCTAAAACATAACAAGTCTGAAGGTACACAAAGACTTCCACAAATATCCTACCTAAAAATTGTTTACTTCTTGGTTTTTCATTATCTAGAGAGATTGTGTTAATTTTTAAAATTTTTTTAATAAAAATGTCTTTAAAATTGTACAGAATTTCAGAATGACTGACACTGCCGAAGCTGTTCCAAACTTTGAAGAGATGTTTGCTAGTAGATTCACAGAAGATGACAAGGAATATCAGGAATATCTAAAACGCCCTCCTGAGTCCCCTCCAATTGTTGAGGAATGGAATAGCAGAGCTGGTGGGAACCAAAGAAACAGAGGCAACCGGTACATAAAGAATAAATGCAAATGGTTGACCTGGCAGAGGATAGCTTTAATCTGCAAGACTGTAAGGCCACTGAGGGCAGGGACTAGTTTTTAGTATGGCATGCCTAGTGCCTAATAGTGCCTGGTATATTGTTTCTGATAAATACTTGCTTTAATATTTTTTCAGCACCATATATTTTTTTCCTTGCTGTTCAAGTGTGTGTGTTTTCTTGTTTTTAAATGTTCTTTCTATAGACTAATACTTTCTATGCAAATCTCCTTTAAAAACCTAGAGTTTTCTAGAACTTGTTCAATTCCATAAAGAAAATGTTGTTTCGATTTTACTCTACGAACAAGTTTACAATTGGAAGTTACTTTTACTTAATTCAAAATAGTCAAAGGAATAAATTACCATACCATTTTTGTACAATTGAATAGATTTCACTTTAATTCAGAACCATTCTATTGGTTATATAGTCTGCCTATTTCTCTGTAAAGTGTATGTAGTATAGCACTAGAAGAATGATTTCAGTCTTAGGAAAGGTTTGAATAACTGGTGCTATAACATTCTATTGTGAAAAATGTTTTTTAGTCTTATTTATTGAGAAACTAGATGCACTGCTGTGGGTTTGTCATGTGTTTTTTTAACAAGGAAATTTAAAGACTTTTTTTGTTTTGTTCTTGTAGATTGCAAGATAACAGACAGTTCAGAGGCAGGGACAGCAGATGGGGGTGGCCAAGTGACAATCGATCCAATCAGTGGCATGGACGATCCTGGGGTAACAATTACCCGCAACACAGACAAGAACCTTACTATCCCCACCAATATGGACATTATGGTTACAACCAGCGGCCTCCTTACGGTTACTACTGATAGAAATGTTGGCAGCTTTTAGTAAAAGCATTTACTCTGTTACCATGACAAAAGTTTGGGTGACTTCTGTTGGTCATAGTTATACATCTGATTTTAGAGAACGGATTATTTTTTGGAAGTTGAGACTTAAAAAAAAAGATCTTAACTTGCGGGATGCGATGGTTGCTGGTAATAACTGAAATTGTGGATTATATTGCTTGACTTCTACCTCAGAGTCTTCCTTGTTTCACGATGTAATAGTGCTTTGAGTTTGGTATATTTTCTTATTTGACCTCTAGGAGACCTTTGTTTTACACAGAAATAAAAATTTTAAAATAGAAAATGCTTGCTTTTACTTTGTAAGGTAAGACAGTATCCATATACTTAGATTTGCTCATTTCTAAAATTCTAGAAGTTAATACAATCAGCTCATGAATGCACAGCTATGCTTCTTGTGAAAGATTGTACATAACATCAGCAGTTGAAAAATAAAACAATTCCTTTTTTTTTTTTTTGCTTTTGTTACGTGACTGTGGTACTTTGTGATTCCTTACTCTATAGATAATGAGTCAGCTCCACAGTTATTTGGGTCTCTTTAGAGGGAAATCAGTAATAAAGCTGTAAAATAAGGAAGGAATCATTGTCAGTTTGTGTCTTGATCTGGTGGTGGTTGGGATTAGGGTATCATCGTTGTATATACCCACTAAGGCTTTTCGCTAACAACACAGCAGGTCAAAATTCACACATATAAAAGTTTAACTCTGTGATGTTCAAAATTTCCTTTTTAATCCTGTAAATAATGCTGCATTTTGATTGTTCTTTCTTTTTTGGTATTTAATGTGGGCTGATTTTACAATGTTATATTCACTTCCAGATGCATACCTCTGCTGCTTTCTCTTCTATAAATAGTGATGCTACAAACTTCGTTTCACAGAGATAATTCTATTTCAAATCGTTTTAATGGTTATTACAGCAATGGTTTCATTCAAATAAAATTAAAAAAAAAAATTTAAGTGTCTTCACTCCCAAGTTCTAGCAGTTAGCCTATTTATTAATATGGTGAAATGAGATTTTTTGGTTTTTTTATTATGCTGTTTTTCATATCTGTTGAAAAGGGCTTATTTGGTTTAAGAGTAACATTAAGAGTGCAAGTTTCAACATAGGTCAAAGGAATTAACAGGCACCTCCCTGACTTTATTAGAGTGACCAAAAAAATAAAAAATCAAACAATATTTAAAAAGGCATCTTCTGGCCAGGTGCAGTGGCTCACGCCTATAATCCCAGCACTTTGCGGGGCTTAGGTGGGTGAATCACTATCACTTGAGGTCAGGAGTTTGAGACCAGCCTTATCAACATGGTGGGACCCCATCTCTACTAAAAATATAAAAATTAGCTGGGTGTAGTGGCACATGCCTATAATCTCAGCTACTTGGGAGGCTGAGGCAGGAGAATTGCTTTAACTCCAGAGGTGGAAGTTGCAATAAGCCGAGATCATGCCACTGCACTCCAGCCTGGGTGACAGAGTGAGACTTCATCTCAAAAAAAACGGTAGCATCTTTGTAAACCTGTCTTTTACTGCCTTCTCTCTTAGCACTCCACTCTAGGCCCTCAAAGTTGACTTCTCCAGGTACTTCATGCTCTGATTCTACCTCTTTTTTATTCTCCCTGGAAAGCTACCTCTCAGGTAACTGTTTTATTGGAAAGAACCTAATAAGTCATGCATTCACACTAAGATGTAAATAAAATATTAACAGTAAGGTAAGCGTTTTCCCTGTACCTCCCTAATTACATCAGTAGGCAACAAGCCAGTGCTATAGGTTTTGGGCCTAGCATGGTGGCCTACGCCTGTAATCCAAGCACTGGGAGGCCAAGGTGGGCAGATCAGGAGGTCAGGAGTTCGAGACCAGCCTGGCAAACATGGTGAAACCCTGTCTCGACTAAAGATACCAAAAATTAGCCGGGTGTGGTGGCAGGTGCCTGTAATCCCAGCTATTTGGGAGGCAGGAGAATTGCTGGAACCCAGGAGGCAGAGGCTGCAGTGAGCCATTGCACTTGAGCATGGGTGACAGGGTGAGACTCTGTCCCAGAAAAAAAAAATAAAAGGTTTTGATACTACAGATACTTAGCCAAATAGTAACGTCCTGACTACACTCCAGGATCTTCTCTGAAAGCAGAAGTGTTATCAAAAATATCTATCACCTGGTTGGGTATGGTGGCTCACACCCGTTATCCCAGCACTGTGGGAGGCCAAGGTAGAAAGATCACTTGAGGCCAGGAGTTTGGGGCCAGCCTTGGCAATGTAGCAAGATCCTGTCTCTACAGAAAATTTAAAAATTAGCTCAGTGTGGTGGTCATGCCTGTAGTCCTAGCTACTCAGGAAGCTGAGGCAGGAAGATCCCTTGAGTCCCTGAGGACTTCAGGACTACAATGAGCTAGGATCATGCCACTGTACTCCAGTTTGGGCAAGAGAATGGGACCTTATCTCTTAAAAACAATGATTTAAACCAGGCGTGGTGGCTTATACCTGTAATCCCAGCACTTTGGGAGGCCGAGGCGGGAGGATCACAAGGTCAGGAGATTGAGACCATCCTGGCTAACACAGTGAAACCCCATCTCTACTAAAAACACAAAAAATTAGCCAGGTGTGGTGGCACACACCTTTAGTCCCAGCTACTAGGGAGGCTAAAGCAGGAGAATTACTTGAACCTGGGAGGCGGAGGTGCAATGAGCTGAGATCAATCATGCCACTGCACTCCAGTCTGGGCAACAGAGTGAAACTGCCTCAAAAAATTGGTAATGATTTATAGGCTGAGCGTGGTGGCTCACGCTTGTAATCCTAGCACTTTGGGAAGCTGAGATGGGCAGATCACTTGGGGTCAGGAGTTTAAGACCAGCCTTGCCAACATGGTAAAACCCAGTTTCTACTAAAAATACAAAAACTAGCCAGGCATGGTGGCAGGCACCTGTAATCCCAGCTACTCAGGAGGCTGAGGCAAGAGAATCGCTTGAACCTGGGAGGCCGAGGTTGCAGTGAGCTGAGACCATGCTGTTGCACTCCAGCCTGGGCAACAAGATCAAAACTCCGTCTCAAAAGAAAACAAACAACAACAGCAACAACAAAACAATTTATAACATCATATTACCTGAGAAAGCACGGGCGCTGAGCAGTAGTTGAGACAGTAGCTGACTATAGCTTCAGGGCAGGATTCTCTGCTGTGCCAGCTGTTGACACAAAGGGAGACGTGTGGGTTCAAGGCCAGCACTGAAGGGGTGCCTCTCAAAAATCTCAGAAGAGAGGTGGTTTCCAACAGTATTTAAACGCTTTAACTCCTAACACAGCTAGGCTGCCTGTGACCTGAGTATCAGCCCTGCTTGAAAAAATAGGAATAAACCGCCTTTCAACATGAGTTAATTCGGCATGCTGCATGAATAATCTATGTGGTTATGGTTTTTGTTTTTTAACAAGTTACTATCAGACTGTACTCCTGCCCCCCATGTGCTTAAAACCAGGAAGAAATAAAAGGCACAGTTTCTGCTTCATGAGACAGGAAATAACATGAAAAAAGCTTAAAGATAAGAGTGAGAACAAAGAATTAAAATAGTGTCAAATAGAATTAATTTCAAGTAGACAGTCTGTTATAATAACATATGGCATTAGGCATAAGGAATCCTAGCTTCCAGTTCTGTGCTTAAAACATATGTGACCTTGAGAAAATCATGTAAATGCTGAACTTATTGGCTTAGCTGGAAAAAGGAGGACAATACCCAACCTGCCACCCTCATAGAATTATTAAAATAAATAACTAAAGGAAGAGCTTGAGAATATAGAGTTGTGACCATTAAACTCCTAGTGGCACATAATAGGTGCTGCATAAACATTTGTTGAATCAACGGGAGGGGAGGGAAGTATTTGGTAAATTGTAAAGCGTAGTGTTGATATGAAGGATGTAAAGTAATGGACAGAAGATAAGGCAAGGCAGGAGACGTTGAGAATTAAGGATTTCTGACCGTTTCCTTATGTGAATTCATATGTGAATTAGCAAAGGAAAGCAAGTTATATCATTCAGAAAATAAACACTTCAAATGTGGAAGACGGATTGTATTTAAAAAGTTGAGCTAAAATTAGCAGTATTTGGC